AACAAAAACTCTAATATTTGTCACCTGACCACTTTTGTGCCATTCCTGATGACCTGCATGTCTACCATACAGCCAGCAGTTGAATAGGCAGCCAAGTTGAGTTCTGAAAACTCTGCCTGAAGTGGAAGAATAAAAGAACACAGGGTTACTTGATAACAAAACACACAGAATAGAGTGACCTATTTGCAAAATTCTCTTTCAAATGGAATGTTTGCCTCAAGATTTCCACAGCAGCGGCATGTCTAATTAGTGCTGTTTTGCACAGGAAACACTCAAGAAGTGTTTATAGTCTAATAAGTGGACACTGAATTAGGTTTACTGCAACCATCAACATCATCACCATCATCATCATCATCATCATCATCATCATCATCATATCCAACAGGAAAAATCTTTAAATAGGACTTGAAACATCGCATCTGGGTTTATTTTTGAAATCTGGCTTCACTGACCAGCTATAAACTTAACAAAGTTTTGCGCTTGTGGTATTGGCCAAAATTTTCATTATATTTTGAGAGAATTCCATTTGAAAACATTGAACAACTTTAGAGCGTAGTGAATCTGGGCAGTACATTGCATTATATAATCATTCAAAAATAACTTTTTTTTCATGCCTGACCATAAGAAACAACATTGCAAAATGACTGCAGGCTAGACTAATTCCAAATAGGTTTCTCCAGTTCAGTTGTACTTCAAGAACCTTAATCCACATCCCACAAGCCCACCAGATCAGGAAAGGTTGTTTTAGAACAAATCTATAGTTTACTTATACAAATAGTTCAGCAAATTCATCGAACCTGAGAACTGTGGAATAGACAGGACAAAAGGCTAGGCTTTTTCTCTCGCTAGGCTTGTAGATTATTTAATGCATTTGTGTAGACTAAAATATCTTGTAGAATGGTGAAGAAGAGTTACCCAATTTGGACTACAAAAAAAAGCACATGACACCAAGGACCCATGTGTCAGGGCTCCGACAATACACCCCCATTCAAATAGTAAGTCTCTAACCGCATCTCTCAGAGTAAAAAAAATGATTTATTAGGAGGGACCATGTCAGCGTTACCTGGATGTAGCCGACACTAAGACACATCATTCATTTCACATTTGACCCTGGTCTTCCCCCAACTTCTGGATGTATATTCTCCAATGGGACACATCCATAGCCAAGAGTCATCAATCATGCTCTCCAGTAATAATCTTCCTCACCAACAGCTTCGGCTGTCAGAGCAATTATCTGAAGCATTTAAGGAGTGCCCTACTTTCCCAACTCCCTTTCTGCTGACAACTAAAAAGACCAAAGAGGTATATTTTTTAGTTGACACCGTGTTTCTTAACCATGTCAAATTAGAGATGTGTGGATATCAACTCCCAGAATCACCAAATCAGTTAGCCTTAGGTTCTGTGTTATTGGGAGGAAAAAGATAGCTTTTAAAAAACCTTTTTTCATAGCAAAAAGTCAGAAATAAAGCCTGACCTGTTTTACGTCAACAGTGTGAGGTTTGGCACATCAGAGATGAAGTAAAACAAAAACAAATTATAAGCTAGCCATGCTGGGAAGATAGAAGTTAGGTAGTAGTGATAGTATTACAAATTTCTCCCAGAATATTTTGAAGCAATATTAAATTATTTTCCACAAGGTTTAATTGTTTGGACATTTCACTTATAAAACATTGTACTTTTCCCCCTTCAGAACAGAGTAGTTTTTCTAATAGGAACAACAACTTGTTTTTCTGAGTAAGATAGCATTTCTACTCAGCATCAAACAAAAGTATAACATTCTCCAGCATGGTTAAGTAGGTGTGTGGCAGTACACTCTGTACTCTACCATAACAGAAAAGTCAATTAAATCTGAGGTAAGCAAGCTCCAAAGTATTCTTTCAGATAAAAATCTCTTCCTAACTGACACCTGCAAAGCCAGGAGTGAATGAAATGCCTGCACTGCTTTTTGAGAATGGGTTTTTCCCCTCACTGACCTGTTCCACTCGGATCTCAAATTCCCCATTCACCTTCTTTCCTTGAAAATACTTAGCCCTATAGGAAAAAAACAGAGGGGAGAAAGAAAGAGGAAGAGTATGCGTTAAATAAGTTTATTTGTCCCCATTCATCTGGGCTTTTTTGAAAAAATATATGATTTACAAGTTTGTTTAGTGTTGTTTCTCTGCTTTGGATGATTTAGACAAGACATTTAAAAAAAACAGATTCTCTGAAATCTTAATTTAACCCATATAAACTGCCAGTTTAACATTCTAAAATGGAGGGGAAATGATTATGTTATTGCGAGACTGATGTTTATAGTAACTTTATAGTATATATAGTTAATACTTATATACCATAGCATACCATATGGTATAGTAACCATGGGCTCTTTTAGCACCTTAAATAATATAATTTGACTTGAAACATGAGCATGGCTAAAGTATAAGGAGATGGGGATCAATGAACTCAATCCTTATGACTCAATCCATAGTACAAACATGCTGCAGCCGGTTTTTCTGTTGTTTCCTCATAATGTTATATTTGTCTTTTCTTTAACTGTTGCTTTCCATTAGCAAAAATTAGTCTAGCTGAATTCAGATTTTCCAAGATAAGAAATAAATATCTTTATTTGGTTCATGAATTACATCGAAAGATATTATGTCCAGTTTCATTGTGGTGAAGCAGAATAGCAGAAAGCCACTAGAGGGAATAGGGGAAGAAAAATCTATTACATTGCTTTATATATGTCTAGAACAGGAGTATCAAACTCAAGGCCCATGGGCCAGATGTAGCCTGCAGGCCCTCCCTAGAAATAGCAAAGGACTGGCCCATGGTGCCTCTGCCAGTGAAAATGGAGTTTGGGAGGGCCACACGCCACCCAGAGCTCCATTTTCAGCCATGATGGCCTCTTGCAACCCTCTGTCAGTGAAAACAGAGCGTGGGGAGCCCACTCCCGGCCTGCCCAGGCTCTGTTTTTGGCCGTGACAGCTTCCTAGAGCCCTCTGCTGGTGAAAACAGCCTGAAAAAAATCTTTCTTTGTTTTTGCTTTATTTTTCCACTGGCCTTAGAATCTATGTACCCTTGGGTTCACTGTCTACCTTGATTGCTTTGAAGCATTCCCACTGTGACTTATAGACATTTGTTCTCTTCCCTTTACTAGCTGTAGCTTTCACTACCTCTTTCATTGCAGCAGTTCCCCTCTTGTGATCCTCAGTCTACCAGAGTGAGCAGTCATTCTCTAGCTGCCCTGCTTTGTTGCTGTGAAAACAGTGCAGGGCCTCTTTCAATCTGTTCCTCCCTGGTGCTCGAGAACTATCCCATTTTGACGCCTTGCCTACATTCTCCCTGCTGTGGTGATGATATTCATCAATCAGCTTGACTGACACATACTCCAGCATGAAGTTGAATTCTAGCAGCAACATGGTTCTCTCTACTGTAATTTCCTCTTCCATGTTCTTGAGTTGCTATATAGATTTTAGCATTAAATTCACATATTTTTTTTTAATTTTGTTCCATGTAAACTCCTTGGTCATACATTAAGAACTTAAATTAGCCCTCTCAAGCAATTTCTATAGGGAAATTCACATTCCTTCAACTATATTTTGTCTTGTTATACTAATTGGCTATATATTTTCCATAGACAAATCGATTATAGCTCTTGGTTTGTTATCTCCTCTGCTCTGGCTCTTTCTATGGTAATAATTTCCACAGAACATCTCAGTGTGAGACATTTCCATTTTAGAATTAAATATATTTATTCAACCCACTTTACCCCACATTATAGTAAGGGATTCTTTTTTTTTTTTCTCATTCACTAGCCTCCATACTAAGGCAGATAGGGATGCAAATTTTATGCTGGCATTTTTTTATTTTACTTTTTGCAGATTCAGGGACTGGTATAGAGTACTTCAGCATAACCATGTGGTTTCATTTATTGTGTTACTGCTTGGAACTGATTGCCTGCAGGAAATGTTTAGCATCTTAAGGAACTTAAGAACATTGGTCTGGCTGATTATGAACTTGTAAGCAAATCTACATATCCTTCCATTGACAAAGAAGGACAACTGGATTGTTCAATTCGTTTGTTTAAACTTCCTGAATTGAATTGAATTTAAATTAATTTAATTTCCTGATTTGTTTACATATTAAAAAACATTTTGCAATTTAAATCTTTTGTTAGTTTTAGTCTAAAATAACCTCATAGGAACCATCTAGGCGGCATTTATGAAGCTGATCTGTATGGATTTTTTCTTCTCTCCAGCATTTTTTACATCAAAAGAAGAGAAGGTTCATTCTCACAGGCTAGTGCCTTGTATTAACTTTTGCCAATTGCCCTCATTAAGTTTTATAATAATGCCATATTTCCAATTATTTGATAGCTCTTATTCATTCATCTTAATAACAACCCTCTATTATTTGTAATCTAACCCATCATTTTCTTTCAGTATGTTCCTGAGGCTGTAGGTAAAATTCTTTGGAACTAGTTCTCTTTATTATTGTTATCAATAATTCATAAATTAAGAGTAAAACAAAGACCAGGAATGATAATCTGAATTTTTACATAAGAATATGAATAGGATGGCACAGTAGCTGGAGCAGGGGTGTCAAATTCAATTTCATTGAGGGCCACGTCTGGGTTTGACCTTGAAGGGACTGGGGGGGGGGCATGGCCATAATGGGTGTGGTCAGTTCAACGTCACTCGTGTCGGGGGCATCTGTGGTGGCCCAAGTGCTCTGCCACCAAAAATGGGTTCCCGAATTCCATTTTTGGCTGCAATGGCCTTCTGCAACCCTCTGCCATTGAAAATAGAGCTTGGGAGAGCCGCACATGGCCTTCACGAGCTCTGTTTTTGCTGTGACTGCCTCCTGTAACCCTCTGCCAGCGAAAACAGGACTGTGTCTGGCCTTCCCAAGCTCTGTTTTCATTGGCAGAGGCACCGCTGGCCAGTCCTTCATTGTTTCCAGGGTGGCCCTGCGGGCCAGATCTAAGCACCCTACAGGCCTGTTCTGGCCCCCTGGCCTTGAGTTTGTTATCCTGAGCTAGAGGGATACCAGTTATAAAATACTTCCTGTGGAGAATGGAAATTCTTATTCCTCGATTAACTGCAGACAGTTATAATGTTCAGTCTTCTGGCCTGTAGGGTAATGCTGTTTTTTAATTTAAAAATCAATATAGCTAATATTTTATTTCCTTACAAACTTCAAATAGTATAACTGAGAGGACTATTTATATGGAACAAAATTTATTCTTTGTTTGTTGCTCATATTTTATCAATAATCATCTTGTTCATGTCAGATAGTCACTTTGTTCTTGGTGTACTGCTCTGTTTATTTTCTGCTTTATTCCCCCCCCTTCTGTTTGTTATTTTATTTGCAATGAATGAAGAGAATTATGAAAGAGTTGAAAAGGAATGCATGGATGGATGCAGTGCTATTCTTAACCAAGCTTCCTCAGAGAGCACTGTGCACATTTGTTTTGTATGTACTGGAATTAGATGTTTTTAAGTGTTTTAATGGGTTTTACTGTTTTAAAATGTTTTAAATATTTTAATTGTAATATATTTTTGAATTATGAGCTGTCCAGAGTCGTTTGCTCAGAGGGGCGGCTATAGAAATGACATGAAATCAATCAATCAACAAGTTTTCTATTCTTCTCCAGAAAAAAAGTTTGATGATATCAGTATTGCATTCCCCTATGTTTGCAGAACTGGCTGCTACTGATGCACATGACACTGTAATAAACACTGTAATTTATTTGCCTGTCCATATTTTCTACTATTGTAGGTTATTTTGTAATTATACTTTTTTAATAATAAAAATTTAAATATTGAGTTCACCCAAGTAACCTGTTTTGCAAAGCTTTCTTCCCATTCTTTTACTCAAAATCTTGATGGTCCCAAAATACAGTTATCATGCATCCAAAATAGAATCATGCTTTGCTGCTGTGTATACATCTCTAGTGTGTGATTCTGTTAGGACAGTGTTGATGGTTCCTTACTGAAATTCAGACATGGCCAATTTTAAGAAAAGTTGGTGATGTTTGACAAGATAGCAATGAGAATGTGAGGATAAATTCTTAGCAAACAGTAAGTAGGACATCTTTATGTTGGGGCAAAAAAGCTTTGTTGATATCTAATAAAAACCATCAATATAAAAAAATCAGCAGAAAAGGAATGCAAGATTTGCACAGTAAAGCAATACAAAATGAATAAAAGATAGAATCCATATGACAAGCTACAATTGTTCTAAGTTATAACCATCTTTAGCTAATCTGCCTACTCATTTTAGGGATCTAATTCCATTGTTTTAGAACTAAAAGCACTTCAAGAAAAGATATAGAGAGGTATAAGAATACTTTGGCTGGTTGGCAGGAAAATCAATGGTATTGTATGAGTTGAATTAAACAGCCTATTGGGCTGGCAATGCACTGTATGTGGAGAAGGAAGACTAATTCATATTTCCTTTGACACTAGTGTCACCCATATCCGTTTGCATCTATATCTAGATTAAGTGAAAATGAAGCTATAGCACAACAATATGACCAGTTTCTCATCTTATTAAATGTTCATAGGTTGTAACAGTTGGGGAAGCCTCTATATCAGAAAGTACTGAACTAAATGGACAAATGATAAGACAGCTCTTAAAGTGCTATTATTCTCTCTTGGCTGAGTGAACTCTTTGCATGAACAGAAAACCATGCTGACACAACTTTATTTTATATAATATTCAGATTACTCTAGTATATCGTTTGCTTATTCCCTATAAACCAGGGGTGTCAAACTCGCAGTCCATGGGCCGGGTGTGTCACGTACTGGCCCCACTCAGCCCATTTTAGTGAAGGAGAAAAAAGTCCCAATACGTCACGTGACGCCGCTGCAACGACACGAGTTTGACACCCCTGCTATAAACAGTACATCAGGAATAGTTATAACACTACACAGCATGGAAATGTTTGTAATGCATTTGTTTTCAGTGGAAACAATCCAGCTGAGATTTGGAAACAAAGAAACTTAAAAACCCCATGAGGACAATAAACAGCTGAAGTTCACTCCTGG